TAAAACCAATAGTAAAATATTCTATAGACAAATAAATAAAAAGAAAAGAAGGAAAGAAGAAATGGAGCTGCTAAGCACTGAGGATGGGGTGAAGATTAAAGATAATCTAGGCATGGCGTAACACATAAACAAATACTTTGCCTCAGTTTTTGATAAGGGTAATGAGAAGCTTAGGGGTAGTGGCAGGGAGGCTAATGGAAAAGAGGATATGAAAGTAGAAATTACCACATCTGAGGTGGAAGTCAAACTCAAACAACTTAATGGGACTAAATTGGGGGACCTGGATAATCTCCATCCAACAATATTAAAGGAACTGGAACATGAAATTGCAAGCCCAATAGCAAGGATTTTTAATGAATCTGTAAACTTGGGGGTCGTACATCTTTGACTGGAGAATTGGAAAAAAAGTCATCTGGGAAACTATAGGCCTGTTAGTTTGACCTCAATTGTATGCAAGGTCTTGGGAAAAAAATTTGAAAGAGAAGGTAGTTAAGGGCATAGAAGTAAACAGTAAGTGGGATAAAATACAACATGGTTTTATAAAAGGTAGATTGTGCCAGACCAGCCTGATCTCCTCCTTTGAGAAGATAACTGATTTTTTAGACAACGAAAATGCAGTAGATCTAATCTGCGTGGATTTCAGTAAGGCATTTGATACAGTTCCTCATGGGAATTAGTTAAAATGGAGAAGCTGGGGATTAACATGAGAACTGAAAGGTGGATAAAGAACTGGTTAAAGGGGAAGCTACAGTGGGTCATACTGAAAGGTGAATTGTTAGGCTGGAGGGAGGTTACTAGTGGAGTTCCTCATGGATCAGTCTTGGGACCAATCCTATTTAACATTTTTATTACTGACCTTGGCACAAAAAGTGAGAGTGTGCTAATAAAATTTACAGCTGACACAAAGTTGGGAGGTATTGCCAATACCTAGGAAGACCAGAATATCATACAATAAGATCTGGATGACCTTGTAAACTGGAGTAATAGAAATGGGATGAAATTTAATAGTGCAAAGTGCAAGGTCATGCACTTTGGGATTTTAGGGACTAACAACAAGAATTTTTGCTATAAATTGGTGACTTTTAAGTTGGAAGTGACAAAGGAGGAGAAAGGTATAATTGGCTGATCACAGAATGACCTTGAGCCACCAATGTGATGTGGCCGTGAAAAAGGTTAATGCAATCCTTGGATGCATCAGGCGAGGTATTTCCAGTAGAAACAGGGAAGTGTTAGTACCATTATGCAGGGCACTGGTGAGACCCCAGCTGGAATACTGTGTGTAATGCTGGTACCCATGTTTAGGAAAGATTAATTCAAAGTTGAACAGGGGCAGAGAAGGGCTACTAGGGATGATCAGAGGAATGGGAAATAATCATGATCATCCCTTCTCACCTTAAAGTCTATGAATCTGTGAGTCTATGTCTATGAGTTGAAGGTAGACAAATTCAGACCGGAAATAAGGTGTACAATTTTAACAGTGAGAGTAATTAACCATTGGAACAATTTACCAACAGCTGTTGTGGATTCTCCATTACTAGGAATCTTTAAATCAATATAGAATTTTTTTTTAAGAAAGGGGATGTTGTTTTTAAGGAATTTGGGGAAGTTCTCTGGCCTGTATTTTACAGAGGGTCAGAGTAGATAATCACAGTGATCCCTTCTGGCCTTGGAATTTAGAAATCTATGAAGCTATGAATTAATTCTTGTGTCTTTTAGGTATCTCTTCCAATGGTCTATTTTCTTGAATCACAGCTGTATATATAATTGGGAAACATATATTTTGTTACTTGTGTGTGATATATCACAGATTTATCAATGACTATTAGCCAAGATGGTCAGGGATGCAACCGCATGCTATGAGTGGCCCTAGCAGCTGACTGCCAGAAGCTGGGACTGGATGACAGTGGATGGATCATTCGATGATTGCCTGTTCTGTTCATTTGCTCTGAAGCATCTGGCATTGGCCACAGTTGGAAGACAGGATACTGAACTACATAGACCATTGGTTTGACCCAGTATGGCCATACTTATGTTCTTATATGTAATTCTGAAGAAGTTTTGTACAACATATAGAATTTGCCCAGGCTTTAGATTGGAAATAAAGTGCAAATTTTTCACAGTGAGGGAATTAATCATTGGAACAGTTTATGAAAATGCAGTAGATCATTAAGGTCATGGTGGATTCTCCAATACTGGCAATTTTTAAAATCAAGACGATGTTTTTCTAAAAGATCTGCTCTAATTCAAACAAGAATTAATTCAGGGAAGTTCTCTGGCCTGTGTTATACAGGAGGTCAGACTAAATGATCACAGTGGTCCCTTCTGGCCTAAACATCTATGAATATATGAATAACCACATTTTCTGCTATTCTTTCTGAGTTCTCTTTTTGTATCTCTCCAATTCTTTAAGTAAAAAGTAGATTTGTATACAGATCTGTGGAATGGTGACATACAAGCTCAATTTTGAAAAAAATCATAGAATCAGAGAAATATAGGACTTGGAAGGGACCTCTAGAGGTTATCAAGTTCAGTCCCCTGTGCTGAGGTAGGACCAGGTAACCCTAGACCATGCCTGACAAGTGTTCCAACCAGTTCTTAAAATCCTCCAGTGATGGGGATTCCACAACCTCCCTTAGAAATCCATTCCAGAACTTAACTACCTTATAGTTACAAAGTTTTTCCTAATACATAACCTAAATCTCCATTGCTGAAGATTAAGACTATTACTTCTTGTCCTGCTATAATGGACTACATCCCTGTATTTAAACCCTACACACTATTGTGATAATCTTGGTGCAGGGTATGCCTTGTGAGGTATCATTTAAAGACTCATCATTTGCTGATCAATATCATGGCAAAATACATGTGGGAGCGTTACATGTGACGTTATAAACATAAGCTGAAATCATAACTTCCAGTTAAGTCTGGGGAGTGACTAAGCCAGTTCGTCAGAGACAAAGAGCAAGCTGATGCCTCAGTCAGATAAAAACAAAGCTGATGGACCATTACCTGCTAAGTGGCCATTCTTTGGTAGGAAAGGGGGCGGGACAAAAATCTACATCTTAGCAAAGAAACATTGTGGAGTTTCCTTTCTTCATAAGACTGCCTGTTGCTTTGCTCCCAGCTGGAAATACTTCTCAAAGTGGGGGAGAGGCAGACACCCCAAGAGAGACCCCTATCTCTCTCCCTGCCCATCACATTCTCTGCATCTGAAAATGCAAAGGAAGCAGCCTGTAGACTCTAGGGAACGGGTCCTGACCTGAAGAGTTTGGTCATTAAGACTGCTGAAAGCATGTGATGAAAAAGCTTTGCTTTGAATCTAATGTAGTTTGATAAGTTAGGCACTGCTGAGTGCTTTCTCTTTATTTTTCTTCTAACCATTTCTGATCTTTATGCCTCAGTAATTAGCTCTTAATGGAGTATATCTCTTTGTAGTTAATAAATTTCTTTCATTGTGTTATATAACCTAGTGCGATTGAGTTGAAGTGTCTGGGTAACTCTATGTGGAGTAACAAGTTGTGTGTATATTATTCACTTTAAGGAATAACAAACAATATTTTAGCACATACATTTCTGAAGGAAAATCTGGGACTGGGAGTGTGTTGGGGTCACCCTGTGGCAATCTTTAAGGCTGGTAAGAGCCAATTTTTAAGTCTGCACACGCAGACATAGCTGGGAGTGACCTACATGTTGGAGGCTGTTTGTGAGCAGTCCAGGTTGGAGGCTACAGCAGCAAAGCATTGTAACGGCACCCCAGGTTACAGGGCGAGGTGACACTGCTAATCATTGGTCTGGATGGTACCGTGGTATGTCACACCTACCTTGGACATCAAGAAAAATGTATCACAGTCCTTTTATAACAGAACTTAACATATTTGAAGACTATCACATCCCCCTCAGTCTTCTTTTATCACAACTAAAAATGCCCAGTTTTTTTAACTTTTCCTCACAGGTAAGGGTTTCTAAATCATGTATCATTTTTGTTGCTCTGCTCTGGACTTTTTCCAATTTGTTCACATTATTCTTAACATGTGGCACCCAGAATTGGACACAGAGCCGTCACCAGTGCCAAGCAGAGCAGGACAATTACCTCCTGTGTCTTACATACAACACTCCTGCTGATACACCCAAGACTGATATTAGCCTTTTTTTTGCATCTCCATCACATTGTTGACTCATATTTAAGACTAAGATTTTGATACGGGTATTTTTAATAAAAGTCATGGACAATAAACAATAAATCATGGAAGCCCAAGCCCCGCCATGTGAGGCTGGAGCCTGAGGTCCACTTTCCAGGGCTGCCTTAGCTCTACCTGAGCTGATCATAATTTTCAGGAAGTCATGGAGGTCTCGTAAAATCATGGAAGCTGTGACCTCCATGGCTGATTCATAGCCTTACTCATATTCAATCGATGATCCACCATAAGCCTAGATCCTTTTCAGCCCCCAATCCTTTACTAGCATTACCACCTAGTCATTTATTCACCATTTTGTAGTTGTGCACTTGATTTTTCCTTCCTTAGTGAAGTGCTTTGCACTTAACTTTACTGAATTCCATCCTGTTGATTTTGGACCAATTCTCCAATTTGTGCAGGTCATTTGGAATTCTAATCCTGTCTTCCAAAGTGCTAGCAACCTCTCCCAGCTTGGTGTCATCTGCAGATTTTATCAGCATACTCTCCAGTCCATTATCCAAGTAATTAATGAAAATACTGAATAGTGATAGGCAGAGTTGCAGAAGTTTAAGATGAGGCAGGTGGAAAGTTTAAGGTGAAACACGATGTAAAAATCCACTGAGTACAGGTTACACTGAGACCAAGGGGAGTAAAAAGGGAGAAAAATCAATATCTTTCCCCTGCCTCCCCTCCCAAAAACGGATTGTATTTCTCAAATTTACATAAAATGCTCTTATTATGAATTGTTTCAAAATAACAAAAGATCAATGGTATTAAAACAGTTGAGAAACAGTAGAATACACTCTGTGACAAGAGGCTTCCTACCTGATTCCAGTGTAGAAACATGGAGCATAAAAAAGAAAATGATGTAACTGCACAGAGAGAGGTTGCCCATTGCACAGTGGGAGTGGAAGGAAATCCTCATCTTGATTGTAACTTGATCCAGAGATCAGAAAGGAAAAGAAAAAACAAATTCCAACTGAGCAACACGCTATAATTTGGGCAACATTCATTGAGCACAATATGAATCCTAGGACATGTGCTAGTTAATAATTGCATCAAAATGTGCATGTTTGCTACTGCTTTTGTCATAAGACATGTTACAAGGCAAAGCAAAACTTGGGTTTCCCCATTCACCATCTCAAATTACAGTCCAATATTCTGGGCAAAGGCCTTAATACTAGCATTTGCAAAATTCACTGAAAAATATTATCACAAAAATCACTAACTTTTGTAGAGTAACAGTCCAGTTGTAAAATTACAAAGAGAAAGTCACCAAGAAGAAAAAAAAACCCTTAACGTATTTTGTGTCTATTTTTATATTGCAGTGTGAGAAAAGGCATTGCAATTGCTGGGTCTGTGTCACTTGGATACATACAGATCATCTAAAGTCATTAATGCACCCTTTCAAGTAGAAAAATGAGCATTTTAAAAACAAATTAAGGGATGAAAACTTCCTACCACCTACCTCATGAGCCCAGGAGAAACTTCTCAGCAATTACAGGATCACTGGGACATTTCCAGCTTCTCTACAGCCAGTGAAATGGACCCTTAGGCCAGGAGGTGCCTTACAATGAAAGAATTCAAGTTAGGGTATAAAGCAAAAATTATTTAGGAAAAGAGAATCAGTTCAGTATCGTCTGTCCTTGTGCCATTTTATGAAAATGCTTTTTAAATAGCAGCAGAATTTACTCTTCTCTCCTGCATGTAGCAAGGTTGAAGATGCAAGTGAAATTGTAGAGCAGAAAGCCACCATTATCATTTAGATGGTGATATGAAATTAAAGAGCCTTATGGAAATCTGCACACAAGAATGTGCTTATTCTCTTAAACCCAGCAGGTTTAGCCTCACACACATCCTGGTTTGAGCAGTCATTCCCACTTTGGAAGAGGCTGTTCCACCCCGGCGTGATGGTAGTCATTCCATAGTTAAGACTGTAATCGTTTCCTTTATAACCCTGGTTTCTGACCCTACATCTATAAACTACAGGAAGATCCTATCAGCCTCAAAATTGGAACATTAGGTCTGGGGCTGAGTTAAACTATTTCTACCAAATTTGATGTGAATTGGACAAGTGGTTGCTGAATTATAACAACCAGGAAAAGAGGGTTCACCGGAGTTTTAAAAACATCTTTTTTTTGCTGCTTTATAGCATGAAAAACAAACAAACTCCATTTTCCTATGGCTGCCTGGCCCCTCTGCTCCCCGTAACCTCAGCAACAGAGGTTCAGGGGCTGCCCCACATACCTCATCACTAACCCTCCCACCATTACTCTAACCCTCTGAACATTCTGGTTTATGAGACTTGCCCAATGTTTGGCTCTTCCTGCAGCCTCTTGCCTCGTTCACATGGTTGGGCAGAAGTAAGTCCATTGTACAGACAGCAAAGCTAAGCACATAGATTTAGGACACTCATTCCATAAGGCAGTGTGGCTAAGTGGGAGTGACTTGGATCTGCCCCAGGAGAGACCTGTGTTCTCTTCCTAACTCTGCTAGAGCTCACCTCTGGTAATATCTCAGGTCCTCAGTTACTGCCTCTATTATAGAATCATAGAATATCAGCAGTGGAAGGAACCTCAGGAGGTCATCTAGTCCAACCCCCTGCTCAAAGCAGGACCAATCCCCAGACAGATTTTTGCCCCAGATCCCTAAATGGCCCCCCTCAAGGATTGAACTCACAACCCTGGGTTTCGCAGGCCAATGCTCAAACCACTGAGCTATCCCTCCCCAGCAGGGGAGAATGATATTTGTTGGCATCCGAGGATAAGGACACAGGGTGGTATTCACAAAGGTACTTAGGTGCCTGAGTCCCATTTTTAGGCACTGCTGTGACCCATGAAACCGCTGCTTGGCTGCTGCTCAACCCCTGTAGGTGCCTTAACTCACTTGGCTGCTCAGCACCTAAGTTTTTGCAGCACAAATTCCCCAGGTGCCTAAGTTTCTGCCTCCATGCATGTGCACTGCTGCCTCCCTCAAGGTTTCCAGATGCCTATGTCCTGGCTAACCTCCAAAACAATCCACAACCTGGGGAAAGATAGGCGGAGGAGTACCTATCTCGTCTATTAGATCTGATCTGGGAGGCATGCTGAGAGGCTACCTAGCTCCACACAAAGCAGTTGTGGGGGAGCGAGCAGCTCATTTCCTTCACAATGTTTAGCCCCATAGTTAGGGCATACATCATGGGTATGGGAGACCTCCAATTCAAATCCCCCCTCTGCCAGAAGAGTAGGGAATTGACCAAGTCTCAGATAACTGTCCCAGTCTATGGGATATTCTAGTGGCCATTCTTTGGCAGGCAAGGGGGCAGGACAAAAATCTACATCCTGGCAAAGAAAAAGCATGCAGTTCCATCCACACAGACTGCCTGTCGCCTTGCTCCCAGCTGGAAATGCTTCTCAAAGGGGGGGCAGGTTTATAAAGGTCTCTCCCCGCCCATCACATTCTCTATACCTGAAAAGACATAGGAAGCAACTGTTGGACTCTGGGGGAGGGGTCCTGACTTAAAGAGTTTGGTCTGCAAGACTGCTGAAAGCATAGGTGAAAAACTTGGCTTGAATCTAGTATAGTTTGTTAAATTAGACACTAGTAAGTGTTCTGTCTTTATTTTTCTGACTTTTATGCCTCATTACTTGTACTCACTTAAAATCTCTCTCTTTGTAGTTAATAAACTCGTTTTAATGTTTTACCTAATCCAGTGTGTTTAAGTTGAAGTGTCTGGATAACTCGATTTAAAGTAATAAACTGCTATATTATTCCCTTAAAGGAATAATGGACTTAGTATATTTGTACTGTCCAGGAGAGGGCTGGGCAGTACTTTTCTGGGAGACAGTCTGGGACTGGGAGTATGCCGGGATCACCCTATGGTAAATTTTAAGGCTGGTAAGAGCCAAGCTAGACTTGGTTCAAGGTAAAATCCTACCACATATTCCCACAACAGGAATGACCAAATTCACAGGTCAGGCTCTACCTGGAAAGTCAAAGGGCTGGTTCCTTTGTCTTCTTAGGTGGAAGACAGAAACATGAACTGGGATGTTTTTGCCTCTTTTATAGTCCAGACACCCTTTTAAGTGGATTCTTCTGAAGATTACACCTCAAAAGAAGTTTGGTCAAACAGTAAAGAAGGCAACATAGAGTCTGGGGTGAAGGAGGCGCCATGCTTTTTCTTCTCACCTGTTTGCTGAAATGCAGATTTGGCTTGTCTCCTGCCATTCCCCCCCTTGCTGTCTTGAGGACCCTTTTTACTAGTGTATCTGTTAGTAAATATTAACCCTTTTTGTTCTTTCTTTCTGTATATTTGATTCATTTCTAGATAGAAGTAATGGGATTAATCTGCAGCAAGGGAGATTTAGGTTAGATATTAGAAAAACTTTCCAAAGAAGGTTGTGGAGTCCCTATCATTAGAAGCTTTTAAAAACAAGTTGGACAAGCTGCTGTCAGAGATGGTCTAGGTTTACTTTGTCCTGCCACAGAGCAGGGGGCTGGACTTTATGACTTCCCAAGGTCCCTTCCAGCCTCACATTTCTATGATTCTATTATTAGAATCTTTAGATTCTTTAGAATCTTTGTCTTCAACAGAATATGTCTGAACTCTAAGGTCCAGAACACTGGTCCTTGACTGATAAGTAACCATATTCAGGAATGTTATTCATTATGCTATATTTTAACAATCTTGGGCACTTTCATGTCTATAAAACTTCAGATATTCTTGGAAACCATCTCCATTATCGATAAATATAGATATAGATAATGGTTATATAAGCATATATAAACTTGGGAAACTAATAAGGGATGATTGTTACAGCAGATGTTTTCTGCTGGGGAATCCACAGGGAAGAATGACTGCAGGGTAAGAAGGACCCACTGAGAGATGTTATCTTGAAGACTTGTTAGTCCCCTCAGATGTAAATAGTCATGCCTTCACACATAAATCAGGTAAAATGAGAATGTCTAGAAATGACATCACAACATATTTCTCTGGGAGTCTTGGCAAAGAGGGTTTCTTTGTCTACAACCCTATAGAATGATACTGAAGTGATGAAGTGGGGATTCGCTTAATGTTTTGTTTGAATACTTTGTGTGTGCCTCAGTTTCCTCTATGTGTTGCACAAGTATCTAGGTGGTGGAATTTTCACGCGGCACTGCGTTGCATCCCGGCTGTATCCTCTCTCTGCCATGGCTTTAGAGATCTTCTCATATATCATTGCATTCCGTCTTTTGGAGCGCAGCTCGGAAAGCACGGACTCATCGCCCCACACAGCGATGAGATCCAAGACTTCCCGATCAGTCCATGCTGGGGCCCTCTTTCTATTCTGGGATTGCACGGTCACCTCTGCTGGAGAGCTCTGCATCGTTGCCAGTGCTGCTGAGCTCGCCACGATGTCCAAACAGGAAATGCGATTCAAACTGCCCAGACAGAAAAAGGAATTCAAGTTTTCCCGGGGCTTTTCCTGTGTGGCTGGTCAGAGCATCCGAGCTCGGACTGCTGTCCAGAGCGTCAACAGAGTGGTGCACTGTGGGATAGCTCCCGGAGCTATTAGCGTCGATTTCCATCCACACCTAGCCTAATTCGATATGGCCATTTCGAATTTAGCGCTACTCCTCTCGTTGGGGAGGAGTACAGAAGTCGAATTTAAGAGAGCTCTATGTCGAACTAAATAGCTTTGTGGTGTGGATGGGTGCAGGGTTAATTCGATGTAACGGCGCTAAATTCGACATAAACACCTAGTGTAGACCAGGCCACACAGTCCCAGGAAGGTGACAATTTAAGGGAGAGCAAATGCAATTTTCCCTGGTTTGGAAGGTGACAGTTTTAGTTTTTAAGGCTTTTCCCTGCTCCCTCAGAGTCACTGTCATGTAACCCTTCTGCCCATCTAAGTTGGCAGCAACAAGGGCCGGGTTCTGTATCTAGGGGTTCCGTTTCAATAA